ATCAAACCGAAATTTCATTGAAATAAAAAAGTTTAACCTCCACTAACGAATGATACAATTAAGCCACAAAGAACTACACAACCCATAATCTCAATCAACATATTGATCAAACAAATGGTAAAAATAAAACGACAAATACTCAAATAGAGCTTTGGGGATTAAACTGAACTTGTAAGTTCAAGCAAAGTGGTAATCGAAAAAGAACATACAAATTCTTTATCAAAACCACTAAGAGAAGTAATCAACACCTCCATAGTCGTTAAGGCCATATAGACATCACCATCTATTGTTGAACGAGACTTGATTAGGGTCCTCGCTTCTGCTCTAAGCATATTCGCCTTCGACACAATGCTCCCTATATCACTAATCACAAGTGAAAACTTCGGGAGGAAAGCAAACTCCATAAAAGAGGAGACTGCAGCAACTAACGCATAAGCTGCAGCAAGAAACTTGGCTACAGAGATGATTAAGCACCATCTTGATGAGCTTGGGAACTGTGAGGAAGTCAAGAGCCACGAGGAGGTCTGAAAATGCAAGAACCTCCATTGCCAAACAACCGAATCTGATACTAAAGATCCAAGATTGGTTTTGGTGAGCCTATCTCTTATCTTCCCAAAGTGTAATCATGATTCTGTAGATAAGACAACCAAGAGACCAATAGATTGCATAGAACCAGATAAGAGGTTTCGAGTAACATCCTCATACTGAAGTAAAGGGGCCTTATATTGAGGTAAAAGAACATGTAAAAGCAGGCTAAGTAAAACCGTAACCACTTCACAATAAGGTATACGAAGGCTCAAAGATCGCCAACACGCCTCATACTGAGGTAATTCAAGTGATTGAACCCTTAAACTAAGGTATATGAATCCTAATATAAGGTAGACACCAACCCAATTCGAGACATTCCAGTTACAAAGACCAAACCTGTCTGAAGCGTGCCTAGGAGCAATGTAGAGAGATGATGCTTCACACAGAGACAAACGCAGATCTGGGAATGACAAGCATCAATAGGGAATATCCAAGCCGAAACTGGGTTCACTCCAAAGGATAAAATCAACAAACAAGCAGAGCAAGAAGTTGTTGTACCATGACGGGGAGGAGACACAACAATTTCAAGGACGAAGGATCGACAAAGAGAGGGGGACAGATCCGGTCTGTTTGACGCGTCGGGAGGGTCGGGAAGTTCAGGAGAATCTGGAGGAGAGACCATAACCGGCAGATCTGGAAGAGAAGCAAACGGCGACCGCTTTGGAGGAGGAGCGAAGAGCGACGAGGCAACCACCAACGAAACCATGGAAGAAAGGAAGCGGCGAGAAGCCGCACCGGCGGCGGCAAATCAAAGAAAAACCCTAATCGCTTTATTGTCGCTTTTTGGAGAGAGAGAAAACTTTTTTTTTTAATAATTTGATTTGAGTTAGAATCATGATCGGTTCTGAGTTTAAGCGGATCAAACATGGTGTTGTAACTTTTCTTTTATATAAAATGTGGTTTTCAATTTGTGATATGTTTCTTTAATCTATTGATAATTTATAATGGTAACTTTTGAGTTCAAAACTTCAAAATAATTTTAAAGTTTTTAATTCAAATTGTGTTTTTTTGTGAAATGTGTAAAACGTTCTATTTTATCGGTTTGGTTCGATACGATTTGAGTAACGAATTTTGTGGCTATCCTAATTATGGAGAAATGAGAAAGCGGATTTTGAGATTTCGACTGAGATGGGATGGGGTCCCAATTATAAATTTTATTTTCTCATTTTGGCCTTTTTGGATTCACGAATCATGCCGCTTTTGTTCTTTTACTTCGTTCATAATCCCCTCCTAAGCATGCGTCAACCTTGGA